AGGGGATACGGAACTAGCCAGAATAAAATCATTAGTCTAAAAAAGAAAAGAGGGTGGGCTTTATGGTACAGAAATGATATATTCATAAACTTTTATTAAACATGTTTTCTTGAGGGGTACCTGGGTGGCTCAGTTGTTGGGCATCTGCCTTTGGCTCAGTCCTGATCCCAGGGTCCTAGGATCGAGCCCCACATTGGGCTCCCTGCTCAGTGGGGAGCCTGCTTCTCCCTCTCCCACTCCCTCTGCTTGTGTTCCCTCTCTCCATGCCTCTCTGTCAAATAAACAAATAAAATCTTTTAAAAAATAAAAAATAAATAAAAATCTTTTCTCGAGAGTGAAACCGGACAAATGGGGTATGTGCACACAGAGCTAACGCTGGGCCACTGGTGCCTCCGGGACACAGTGACTTCTGAATGAAGCAAATCTAAAATTATGGGGGAGGGTGTCTGGGTGGCTCAGTGGGTTAAAGCTTCTGCCTTTGGCTTGGGTCATGATCCCAGGGTCCTTGGTCCGAGCCCCGCATCGGGCTCTCTGCTCAGCAGGGAGCCTGCTTCTCCGTCTCTCTCTGCCTGCCGCTCTGCCTACTTGTGATCTCTGTCAAATAAATAAATAAAATCTTTAAAAAAATAAAATAAAATTATGTGGGAGCCACAGATTCCTGAAAAATAGTGGGAACGGGCCAAATACACTACGTGGCACGGGAAGGAACTACATCTTGAATGCATCACACACGGTGTCCTCCGGGCTCTGGAAAAGGCACTGGCTGTGTTCGTGCAAGAAGACCAGTGCTGTGGCCAGGCAGGTCGGGCTTCCAGTCATGGCTCTGGTCTCTCTAGGGCTGACCCTGAACATGTCCCTTCCTTTCTGAGACTTTGCCCATTTCCGAAAATGAGAGCACCACCAATCACACAGAGGGAGTGAAGATCCCGGGAAAGATGCCTGAAATAGTGCTTGGAATACAGTAGGTGCTCATTAAGTGCTGGGGCCCTCTTCCAGCTCACGTACCTGTCCCAGGAGACAGCAGAGAGTCTGCAGGGAAGGCAACACTCTCAACATGGCTTTCTTGTTGGGCAAGCCCCACACTCACAGCCCAGGAGAGTCCCCTCAGGCTGGGCCCAGCCCCAGAGGCCCACCCCACCTGCCCCAGCACCAACCCCCCCCAACCCCCACCCCAGAGAGGGGCCACCAGCCCAAAGCTGGCAGCTCTCAGGGGACACACCACGACAGATAATGGTCATTCGGGTTTTATTTATGACAACTTCTTAGAACACACGTGTCCAGTCTAGGAACGGAAATGTACAACATGAGAGCTTAAATAACTTTCATACACTATGTACAGTCACTGGCAGAGGTACAAAACATATTTACATCTTGTGCTATAGCCGCATAGAGAGGAGGGCATAAGCCAAACGAGACCCTGCAGCCTGGGCAGGGGGTGATCCCTAGAAAAGAGCTGGTGGGCAGGGCGGGGCCCTTCACTTCAGGGGTCTTCTCTGACCCTTGGCTCTTCTTGAAGTAGTTCCCACTTCCCTGCAAAGCCCTCGGGACAAGGGTTCAAAAAACTGGACTGGGTATGAGAAGGGTTGGGGGCTCGCTGGAGTGCTGGGGCTGGGCAGGGTGTGGGGACTAGAACAAAGATGCCATAGAAAACGGAATTTTCCTTGTCGATTCTGTCCTTGCACATAAGAGGGCAGTGAGGGATCCTGGGAGCCAGGAAAGTAGGGCCAGGCCCATGGAGGCCTGTGGGGCCACTGCCAAGCCCCAGCTCCAGAGGCTGGGCCAGGACGCTGGGCTAAGCTAAGAGAGCGGGAAGCAGTTTCCTGTTTGGGATGGCAAACAGACAGATGCCACACGTTCAGGCCCCCGGGGGGGGGGCAGGGAGAAACTCCCCCCTTTGCCAGGCAGGTCCTGCCCGCCCCCTACATGATGGCGAAGATGCTGGGCTCAGGCTGGGGCTGGACACGCCGGGGGCTGTGCCCACACCCACCCCAGATTGCATTAGAAGATGCCCCTGGGAGCTGGGCTGGTCTACGTGAGGGGAGAGAGTGGGCCACTTCTAACTCCATAGCCACAGTCTGCCCACGTCGCCACCACAGTGGGTGGCTTGAGAAAGTCCCCACCACGGTCTTCCCTACAATGGCTTTGTGCTTTAGCTTGCCCTCTGCCCAGGTGACACCGCCCCAGGCGGGCAGCAGGGCTGGACAAGCGAGGGCTGGAGCTGTAGTGATGGGAGGGGGGTAGGGAAACCACTCCCAGATCCGCAGATGGCCCTTCCCAGACCCACTGGGGTACCCTGACCACCTCAAAGGCTTGGGTGTGCCTTTCTTCTTCCTTGGCAATCTCCAAAGGCAACTCCAGATGCTACCTTGGGGAACTGTGGCTGTCATGGAGGGATCTGCTACTCAAATGACAGCAAACACTGAACTGATTAATACTTAGAATTCCGGAACTGTGCCCAGAGGCCCACAGGCAGTCAGCTTCAAAAGCGTTCGAGGGGGGCTCAGCCCCGGGGACAGGGAATGTGGCTCTGGGCTCCTTAGGCTCGACAGGGCTGGGACCCAGTGTGGGCTCAGGCATTTAAAGACTTGGGGTGTGGGGTCGAGAGAGGGAGCTAACTCCTGGGCCTTCTGCTGTGGCTGGGCTGGCGTCGGCCCCGACTCAGGTCTGCAGATGGGCAAAGTAAGGAGTAGGACGAGGCCCCCTGAAGCAGGACAAGCCCTGGGCTGAGCCCTGGCCTGAGCGAGGAAATGCCCACACAGATGCAGACATACAGTCTAACTGCGGACAGAACCAAGCTGGGTGAGCCCCCTGGACCCAGGTCTGCCCAGGCCACCCACCACCAGCCCTGCTATTTGTGCTCAAACCACAACCATTGTGTGCTTCCAACCTTTAGGACGCTGGGGGCCTGCCCCCTGACTATGTTCCTTGGACATCCCTGGAGAAGTAGGCAGAGACTCCGAGCTCTTGGAGCACAGATTTCAGAAGGACTCAGGGCTCCCGAGGGACTTCAAGTTTAGAGTCAATGATAGTCGCCAGGACAGCAGAGCCGGCCTGCCATGAGGTAGCTGACCCAACAGAAACAGCAGGAAGTGGGCAATGCTGCTGAGCACCTCTCGCAGGCCCTAAGGTCATGTCTCACGCAAGAACGGGCCTTTGCAGCTACAGTACTGTTCTGGGCTGGGGCCGCCCCGTGGGGGCAGCACAGTCTTTTGTGTTTCTTCGGTTTGTAAACAGTCATGCAGATGGAGTCTTTCTTACAGGTTGCAAGGTTGAAGCTTTCCGATCAGGTGGGGAGAAGGATGGAAAGGGAAGAGGCGCCTGCTTCCACGTGGCCGAGGGAGCAGCCGGGGGGGCCCCCTGCACTGGCTGGAGGAGGAGGGACTTCCGGGGTGCAGGCAGACTGTCCCAGGCTCCAGGAGGCTGGTGTTCCGGGGTGGGCGCCTCTTGCACACACTAGCTTACGCAGACTCCACCACTGCGGCAGGCAGGGACCTCCCAGGACAAAGGGGAAGCAGGGCTGGGGATTTAGGCCCTGCAGGGGTTTTTCCCTTTTGCTGCTAGGACAGCCTCCTCTACCCAGTGTGCCCCACCAGGGCCGCACAGAGGGGGCTCTGATCGCCTGGCCAAATGCACAGGGTCACAGAGGACAAACACAGAGCTACCTCTGGAAGGTCTAAAAGTCACTGCATTATCTCCGGAGACAGTCGGGGCTCCTGACTCCCAGACCGAGGAGAGGAAGCACAGGAGAAACCACTGTGGATAGGTTGGGGCGGAGGGAAGTCCCGGGACTCCTCCCAAGGTCGGGTCCTGTAAATTCAGAGTTGCCCCAACAGGGGGCGCTGGAACACGGATGTCACCTCATCCCCAGAGCCGTGAGCCCACAGCCCCAAGGCAAAAAAGGAACTCAATGAATTTCTTCTTCGCTGCTAATCTAAAAGGGGAGGGCCTCTCGCCCCGTGCCAGTTTTAAGGCTTGAAAACGTGTCTCCTGAATAACCAGAGAGGAAGAAGCCAGAAGGACCCCCGTCCCTGTCGGGGTGAAAACACAGGCGAGCGGGGGATGGGCTGGGCCACCCTCGCCATCCAAGCCACCCCCTGGTAGACACGATCCTCTGAGCTGCTTCCTACGCGGCCCACACAGGACTCTGGGAAGGGGGGCCCCTGGCCCTGGACCGTGGGGTGGAGCTCCCCTGCCTTCTGGGGGCAGCGGGCACGGGACCCCGCGAGTGCAAAGACACATGTGGCGCCGCGGGCATGGCTGGTGTAAGGCTGCCCAGCTTGGGGGCCAGGCCCCGGGGTGGAGGAAGGCACTGAAGCCTCACGCGGCCTCGAGGTCAGGGGAGCGCTCGATGGTCCCTGGGGGTAAAGTGTGGGACGGGCCGAGCTGCAAAGCGAACAGAGGAGGTGGCCCTGGAGGGCTGGTCGGGCGGACTCCCCTTTGGGATTCCCGGCCCCCGAGTGCTGAGGAAAAGAACATTTGGGGGAGAAACTTCAAGTCAGTTTCGAGGAGGCAACCGCAATAAAATAAAATAAAATAAAATAAAATAAAATAAAATAAAATAAAATAAATAGCGGAAGTATTTCTGACCATCTCCCCAGAAGACTTTTTCTAGCAGCTCTACCTTGGCCCCATTGGAAAGGGACCCCAAGGGATGGCCGGGGTCAACAACGGGAAATGGCTGTTGGTGGCCAAGGGGCTAAGGGTCAGCTGCAGGGACCAGTTGCCAACACCTGGTTTCCATGGTTACCTGAGGACTATCATTTTGGGCTCAGAGGCAGGTGCAGTGGCTCCAGAGGATGGATTAGGGGACAGAAGGGGAGGCCTGTTTATCGGGGGGCACGGCAGGGGCTGGGGCTGCTTCGCCTCCCCCTACAGGTCCCCATGACTGGGCCAGAGGTTAAGGAAGGGCTCGGGCTGCTCAGCAGGAGAGAATGTGGCCAGAGGGAGGGCAAGGGGAGTCCAAGGGGCTGCAGGGAGAGAGATGAGACGGGAAAATGCCCTTTGGCTTCACAGCTTAAATTCCTCCTCAGCCTCTCTCTCTCCCCCAAGAGGCAAGGGGAATAGTATCCTGTAGGAAGGTCAAGGGAGATGCAGGAGAGCAGGAGAGGGGCCATACCCGAGGCCCACACCCTCTGTCCCCAGGGCAGTTGGCCCCGTCAGACCACAGCTTCCCTTCTGTGCTGTCCAGGCTGCCGGGGGGGGGGGCCGAGGGTCTGGGGGCCGTCCTCGGAAAGGCAGCTGGGGTGAGCTCAGCTGCGTGCTCCTAGGGTGGCCCGCGGGGTAACCGCCGCACGCTCCAGAACTTCACCGTCAGGTCGCTGGGGTGGAGGACAGAGAGGGACTGGTCAGCTCTTGAAGCGGGCCTGGCTGGCAACCCCCAAAGTAAAGCATGGGCCGGCTTCTCCAAACTCCCCACATGTGGTTGGGGCCCAGGGGCAAGCATCACCGAGGAGGAGGGCAGACTGCAGGGGCAGAGGGGTGGGTGCTGGGCAGAGGGAGAGGGCCTGGGGTCTCCAAGTCCCCAACAGAATTCTCCCTGTGGGTTTTCGTTGGTGTTGTTTTGTTTGGCCCAGGCCTGGGTTCTCCCCCTCTGCCTTCTGCCACCTGGCGCCCCTCTCCTGGGGTCTGCCCCGCTAGTCATGCTCGGAGGAGGGTGGGAGAAGAGCGGCAGGCGGGGCGTTCACTCCGGGCCAGGCAGGGTGTGAAGGGAGAGTAGGGAGGAGGAGTAAAACAATCTCATACCGTTGAGAAGCAGCTCAGACCGAAGTGGAGAAAGAGAGGGAAGAGGAAAGAGGGGCGAGTGACAGAGGAGGCGGGAGGGGAGGGTCAGGGCAGGGTGGTGGCTCGGCCCTTTATGGCCAGGACTCGGCGAGGAAGGCAGGGAGTGAGTCCGGGGACGTAATTCCACACCTTTACCCGGCAGTCACTGTTGGGGGAGAGAGGTAGAGAGGCAGAGAGAAGAGACAGGAGGAGATGGGGAGGGAGAGAGGGGAGAGAAGGGACATGGTCGGACATGAAGGAAAAAGACGAGACCCCTCTGAGGAGCTCCCCGGTGGGACAGAGGCCTGGGCATCCCCTGGATGGGGACCAGAGCTGGGGCAGGAGAGAGGCGGGTCTGGGGTAGGGGGGGACGGCAGACAGCTGCTCTGTGGTCTGACATACGTGGATGGGAGTAAAGACAGCCGGGGTGGGGGCTGCTGTGGGAGGGGTAGGAAAGGCTTGAAGACAAGTGGGTGAGTCCTGACCTGGGGCCCAGCACCTTCCTGCTCCCCTGCCCCTGGTGGGCACTCCTGGAGGGCTAGCAGAGGCTAGCGAGCACCATGGGGGTCTGCTCCGGGAACCGAGTCTGTTGGGACAGCCGCAGGGGCTCCGAGGCCCCCCATCTTGCCCTGCCCACACCAGGGAGAGGGGTGGGGAACGCACGCAGACCTCTCTGCCTGGCACCCACCTGGAAGCAGTGAAGATGTGCTTGGTGTTGGTGCAGATGGCATTGATGGGGCTGTCGTGGCCCCTGATCTCGCCAATGGGCGTGAAGTTGTCCACGTTCCAGACCTTGATGACGCCCGCACGGCAGGCGCTCAGCAGCATGGGGCGGCCCGGGACAAAGGCCAGGGCACACACCCAGTCCTTGTGTGCATTGGGGATTTGCTGCGGGAGGAGCAGAGCCAGTGAGGCTTGGAGGCAGTGTTGAGTGGGGAGAAGCCCGCAGAGTGGGAAGAAGCTGGCAGAGGACACTGCGGTCACCGGGCTCCCCTCTGCCTGTGGGGTCCCTGGCCAGGCAGGCTAGCAGCCCTGTCCAGGAGGTGGGCTGGGTGAGCCCACGCTGGGGATTGTAGGGGCCCCGAGATAGGTCCTTTGGCCTCCCACTCCAAGGCAAACTTAAGATCTGGCACTGGTGGAGAACCCTTCAGCCCTCTCAGGGGTAAACGCTCCAAGAAAGGGAACACAGTGAGTGGCTGAGCTTTCAAGTCAAACCTAGGGGCTAAGAGCAGCCCCTTTCTTAAAAGCAGCTGTACACGGGAGGGTAGAGGACAGGGAGGAGTAGAGGACAGGGGAGGCAGGGGAATGGACACAAAGGGAAAGAGCGTGGAGAACAGGCAGGCTGGGGGAGCTCTGGCCCAAGACCCTAGGTCCCCAAGGACCTGCCTGGACTGGGGAATGGCCTCACCCTAGCCCACCCCTCCCCTTTCGCCCACTGCACCTGAATGAGCTCCTGCTGCTCTAGGTCCCACTTCTTGATGCCATTATCCCGGGAGCCACTGAATAGGACATCTCCCTGGATGGCAAGACACTCGATACCGTCATAGTGTGGGGGTTCAAAGTTGTGCGTGGGACCAATGGTGCCCGTCACACACTCACCCAACTCGAACATCTGTGGGAAGAAAGACCGGTAGGGCACGCCAGGAGCACCCACCCAATCTCACACAGCACGGTGGTCCCCAGGAGCTGGCAGACCCAGTGGCCCTGGGGGAGAGGAGCTTCCCCAGCAGGAGAGGGCTGCTGGAGGGGCACCGCTTCTTATAGGGATAGAGGACACTGAAGGCTTGGGTCTTGACCCTTCCCAAGGGGACTGGGGCAGACTGGGTTAATAGGTGAATGCAGGGGGTGACCCCACAGCTCAACAAGCAGCTCTTATGGAGAAAGGTGGGTTTGGGGTGTGAACCTCCTTTTTGATTTCTTTTATTTTTAAATTAATATAATATTACTTGCCCTTGGAATAAAAACATGATCATACCAACCACCCTCTGCTTCCCAGTTTCTGACTGTGTACCCACGGTGTGCAATGACATAATTGGCGAGCAAACAAAATTAGTGTTGTTTGCTATCCTTTGTGTTCTGTTCGCATTTTCTTAGTTCAGTAGATGCACTACAGCCTGTTCCACAGCTTTTCCCTAACCGATGTGAGGCTATTCCAGCCTTAGACATCTGGGTCACTTTCAATTCCGCACCACTTACAAAATAGCGCTGCGTCTACTTTCTGCACACACCTCCTTGCCTCTTTGGGGTGATTTCTTCAGCATAAATCCCCAGCGGTCTCATTATTTTTCATGAGGGCTCGCAAGGCCCCAGAGGGAAGGGGTAGGGGAGGACAGGAGGAATGCGGAGAAGAATTCTCCCCACCACCACCCCCTGTCCCAGAGGGAGGCCTTCTCAGGTACCTTCACGTAGTGGTCCTTGGAGCCGGTCACCACCAGGTCATGCTGGCTGGCGGTCTGGGTGACGGTCAGGCACATCACAGGGCCGATGTGGCCAGTCAGCTTGCCAACCAGCTGGAACCTGTAATGGACAGAAGCCCGCCAGTTGGGGGGACACAGATCAGAGGGAACCCTGGCTTGTGGGGGCTGGTGGGGAGGTCTGCCCTGGAGTGAGTTGGTCCTGCCAGGGAACTGTCCCTCCCTCAATGCAAGACCAAGAACCTAGACATCAGCGGCCCGGTGTCCTGGGGGCCTCGGAGGACAAGGATCCCGTATCTCAGAGCAGAGACCCAAGCCCAGCAGCAGGTGGGAATAGAGCAGCACGGGGTTCTGCCAGCCCCAATGGGTGGTGCCCACAGTAAAGACCCAGGGGCCCTCCACGGCGTGCCCCACATCCCCCTGACCTGCTCAGCTCCCAGATGCGGACGGCGTTGCCCGAGGCAGCATACAGCATGGTGCCTGAGGGGCTGAGGGCGATCTGGTTGATCTGATGCTCCCCCTGAGCACTGGTGATGGCACGGGTGGATGCGGCGGCACAGGCGTCCCCAGAGGTCACCTGGCCAGAGGACCTGCCGCGAGCGAGGAAGGCAAGGTCAGAGATCAAAGTGGTCCATCCACACAGGCCAGGAAAGCTCTCAAACCTCACTCAGATCAGGCATAATACTACAGCTCTTCCAGGAAGCCTCCTCTGGCTGATGGAGGGGAGCCAAACTCCTCCTGGAAGTTTCTGGTCTGACGAGGGAGAGACCAAGGGTGGCAGCACCTCTCCGCAGCCAGCAGAAAAGTCCCTGTCCCTGAACGGGGCTTATGGAAGCCACTTAATCTCTCTGAGTCCCAGTTTCCTCCTCTGTAGAGAGAGGTGATTATACCCATTCCGTTTACACTGCTTCTTCAGTTTTGTTTTTTTTTTTTAAATAAAAGACTATTTTTTTAGAGCAGTTACAGGATCACAGCAAAACTAAAGGGGATGGTTTCCCCTATCGCCCTGCCCCCCACATGCACAGCCCCCACATCATCATCCCCAGCAGAGGGGGGCCTTTGTTACAGTGGTGAGCCCACCCTGACACAGCATCGTCACCGCGGGCCACAGGCGACACGAGGACGCGCTCATGCCGGACGCTCCGTGGGTCTGGACCAACGCGTGGTGACCCACATGCACCAGTACAGTCTCAGGGAGCTTCGCTGCCCTCGGAATCCCGTGTTTACTCTCTTTTAAGGATCAAGTTAAAGAACGGATAATGGCTTATAACGGCAGTGCCAGGACGAAGCACGGCTCCCGCTGGGACAGTTTGGTTCTGCAGGGGCCCTCGTCTCACTTCCGTCTTCCACATGTCCGTCAGCCTGAGACCGTCAGGGGCAGGGCTGAGAAAAGGCTTGGGTGGCCCACTGACGCAGACAGGTGGCCAGCGCGGTGGCGGTCAGCCAAAAGCCACCTGTGTCCCCACGCAGGTTCCCAGCTCCCCGTCTGGGTTCACAGGGGGATACCCAGCTCAGCCCAGGGCCTGGGAGGCTGAGATGGAGCCAAGCAGGCCAAAGGCTCACCCAGGCTGCTGCCCCAGACTCTGTCCCCCATCCCAGGGACCCCCACCTCATCCCTCAGAGTCAGGTCGAGTCCCCTAAGAGCCTCTGCACTCATGTGGCCGGACCGGGCTCTACTGAGTAGGTCACGTGGGCTGGGCATGGGTACCCAGCCCACCACCGAGGGCCAGCTCGGGGAGTACCTACGTGAGGGTCCGGATGCACTTGGCCGAGTCCCGGATGTCCCACACCTTGATGTAAGAGGCAGACACGGAGAACACAAGCCCGGAGTGGCTACAGTACTTGAGGGACACCACGTTGTTGGGGTGGCCCTTCAGGGCCGCAATCTCCTGGCCTGTGACCAAGTTCCACATCTTACAGCTGCGGTCTGTGGGAGGCAGGGAGAGAGCCACGGGGACAACAGATGCCAATCAGCAGGGGCCCATAACACACGCTCCCCCTCACAGGGGCTGTGGCGGGTGGGGGAGACAGTCCAGAGGCATCGAGGGGGAGGGGCCTCACGTCTGAGGGACAGGAAGATGCGCCCGGACCAGCTCGTGTGCTGCGTGTGTGTGCGGGAGAGACTCAGGAGAGGAGCTGGTCGGAGCTTCAGACCTGGGTTTCTCAAGCAAACTCCACAGACACCAGAGTTCTCTGCGTGTATTGCCAAGGTACCGGGGCTAAAATGAAATTCTTCAGCTTCTTCTGTCTGTTCCTACAACTGCTAATAGCTGACAAAATTAAGGAACAAGTGGCAAGCACCTTTGAGGGGGAGCATCTGGAATCAATCATCCACACCCAGAATGACAGTCAGCCCCCTCTCGCCCTGCAAATAAAGATATAGTTGTCTTTCCAGTAGCATGTCTACTGCAGAGCTGTCCTTTCTGCTGGTCAGATTTTTCTGATTTTGTTGCTGAGACTATGTAATCATGACTTTGAGGGGTCATAGGGATTTCTTAGCTGGAAGTGCTGGGGTAGACATCGGTGGAGGGTAGTAGTGTTGTGGGACTGGGATGAGCAGACAAGATGGGGAACCTGAAAAGACTTCCTGAAGTTTCTGAGGAAAGTTTGGAAGGAAGTGCTGGATGGAGACCAGGGTCAGCTATGAGGGAAGGCTTGGTTGGGGGTACCCAAGATGGAAAGCCGTAAGCCAAAGTAAGAGACATGAGACAAGGTAGTAGACAAGCTGAGCTCACATCCTCAACTCATGGGGGCTCTGGGATTTCATCTTCACAGCCCACTCTGGCACGGGAAGCAGGGATGGGTGAGACCCTAATCTTACTGGCCAATCTGGGTTCCACCCACCTTTGGATCCTGTGAACAGTAGCTCGTCTGTGGCGTCCAGGCAGAGGATGGGCCTGGTGTGGCCCTCGGCCATGGAGACACACTGCAGTGGGGCTGTCCTTGCACCCTTGGCTCCTCCAACGGGGGTGATGACGCCCCTTCCCAGGAGAGAGGGAGAAAGGGTGCACCTGTCAGCCAGGGAGACTGAGGCCAGGCTGAGCAAGGTATGCCAGTAAGAGGGGGACAGAACCGACAGGGGACTAGGGCAGATGAAGGCAACCCTTGAGACTCAAGCTCAATGCCGTTGATGTCTGAGAGCTGGGGACAGCCTGTGGGGGCAGGGAGGGCTGGTCTGTACGAGAACCTGTCAGTCACCGCCCTGAGCACATCCAGGGGAGCGAGCCGTGGGCAGGAAGGAGGAGACATGGACACTGCCCAGGGGGAGCTCCCGTCTGATGCCTGCCTGACCCAGATCCCGAGGCCTAAATGTGCGCAGGCCCCAGAGGCCCGAGGGCTAGAAAGGGGCCGCACGTTACTTCAGTTAACCCAGGGTGCAGCGAGGGGTGCGGGGTGCGGTGGTGCTTAGGCTGTCCACCTCCCAGCACCTCGGTGGTGCCGGGACAGCCCTCTGTCAGCAACTTCTTCCGCGGCCGGCCCCTCCCAAGCAGAGACACATACCCTCCCACCCACCCTCCAGCCCCTTTGGGACCTGCAGAGTCAGATCTGTGACTGTCACTTACAAAGGCCAAAATCCCTCTAGGGGGCCCCAGCTCAGCTCTGAGTTAGGGATGTCCAGGGTCCCTGGGGAATGCACCTGGGGAAGCAGCGCCTCACTTCCCATCCACAGTCTGGGAGGGAGCACGAGCACCCCCTCGGCAGGCGGGAGCATTTTGCTAAAAGCCAGCCTCCTGGAGGTTCTGGAGAGTGATCTTTTCTGAGTGAGCGTCTTTGGGAATGAGGCCCTAGCCGAATTATATGCAGGTCTGAAAATATGTTCTAGTTCCTTCCCAAAGACAATGCTGTTCCTCCCAGTGATGCTATGTGGCCCATGGTCTGCTAAAATGAGCCGTGTTCCAGCCATAGTGCCTTTCACGGCCCCCATAGACACGGCCACGCCCCCTGCGAGGACGGCAGTCAGAGGCCAGCTGCCAGACAGGTGTCACAAGTGACCAGCCCCCAAGCTGGCCCAGCTCCCTGCTTTCAACCCTGGTTTGGGCCCAGCTGTGTGGCTGTGTAAAGAGCCCAGACCGTTGTGGGTAGTATGTCACCAGGATAACCCTCGTCACTGAGAGAGGCTGGGAGGCTTGCTAGCTTCTGGTCATGGCAAAGCCTTGCCCCCCGCAGGCAGGCTTGCAGGCCAGGAGGCGCGGTGAGCAGGGGGCGCTCTGGGCGAGCTGGAGGGAGCTCAGAGCCTAGTGCTGACCATCGGCCCGTCAGGAGCTCAGGCCCACCAGGTCCCAGGAAGTGCTCCTTGTTGTGTGGTGCTATGCTGGGGGGGCTGGGGAAACTGTCCCCTGGTCACCCCAAAAGCTGGGAAGGGAGGAGGTCTCCTGGCAGTCCTGGGCCATGTGCCAGGAGGTGTGGGCAGCAGGCTCCCTTCGTGCTCCTCTCAGAGGAGCTGAAAAGCACACCTCATCGGGCACAAGCTGAGCAAATCACAGGGATGCTGGAGACAGCCACCAATACCCGGCCAGCTGGGCCCTGCAGGCCCCAGAGCTGTCTGCACCCCTGCCCTTCCCCCAAGCCCTCAGCAGCACTCAGTCCCAGCCCCGGCCCACCCCAGGCTCCCAGGCTTTCCCCGTGCCTGCCCAGGAGACAAGGAGAGAACAGCGCCTGTGGCAAGCAAATATGCCCCCCTCCCCAAGCCCCCAGCTCCAGCCGGGCCTGGCCAGTATGAGGCCATGCAGAGACCCTGAGAGGGAGGAACCACGGGTGGAGGGGGGGAGGGGGGAGGCAGGCCAGGGAGGAGGGCTGCATGCTGAGGACTGGGGTGTGCAGGCGGGAGGGCGGTGCGGCAAAAGGCAGAGAGGGGAGAGTAAAGAGTGAGAGCTGGGGAGCCAACACGGGAGACATTCTGTGTGTACCTCAGGACCTCCGACAAAGAGGAGTCGCTGTCATCAGACCTGGGGAGGGCAGAAAATTAGCTGGATTAGGGGAGAGAGGAAAACACACGAAGGGATGGCAGAGGCAGCAGCAGCGTGGGGGGGTCAGAGGGCGGGTTATGCTCTTCAAGGGCAGCGGGGAGAGGCAGGGGTCAGGGCACTAAGGGACAGCAGGAGAGGAGGTGGGGAGGGGTGGGCCGCCGGGGGCGGGGTCCCTCTGCTACCAGGGCAGGAGTGAGGAGGGGACCATGGGAGCTGTGGGAGTGCCAGCCCCACACTCTGGAGAGACATCTTGTGGGCCATTTGCTGGTTCCAAGCCCCTGGCTGCCCCATTGTACGAGCTAGGGACTCTCTGCCTTGCCCCAGCAAAGCTCCTCCATGCCTGAGGCCAGACGAAGCCATGCTTGCTGCTACCTCTCCCTGGGAGCTGGCCTCTTGCAGCGATTCTTCAGGGACTTACTAATTCACAAAGCCCACTGCCCCAGCGAACCCACTGGGGCTATACCTAGGAGCCGGGCCTGCACCACACATGGGCCCCAAGACCTGGCCCACCGGATAGGACCAAGGTCTGCAAGACCACCAGGCTGGAAGGGCCCGAGTCCCACGTCAGTGCTTCTGGAAAAGGGGCCCGTTGATTGCAAACGTGTGGTGGAGAGGCGGCGCCCCGGCTGGTGTGGTCCAGGTTTGGTACCTGCCTCCTAAAATGGGAACTGAGCCAAGGCGGGTCTGGGGAAGGAGCAGTATTTTGACCCAACAAGGGGTTTTCTGTGGGGAAGGGCTGATGTCAGGTGCCAGGTGCAGGAACTAGCACTCTCTAGCCTGGGCTCCCCGGAACAACAGCACTGCGCCCCTCCTCCCTGCCAGGCTGGAGAAGCTTTTAGGGAGCCAAGAGAGGAGCCCTCTCAGAGGCTTTAGAGATGGGAGAAGCCAGAGGGGGGTCCAGAGTGTAGGGAGCATGGAGAGGGGCACACGAAGGCTAGGATCCCCCCCAACCCAGAGCAGAGTCCCACGGTTTGGAACATATGATGGAGCATGTCAGAAGCCCTGGGTTCTGGGGGCGCCTGGCTGGCTCAGTTGGTTGGGCGACTGTCTTCAGCTCAGGTCATGATCCTGGAGTCCCGGGATCAAGTCCTGCATTGGGCTCTCTGCTCAGCAGGGAGTCTGCTTCTCCCGATGACCTCTCTCCTCTCATTCTCTCTCTCTCTTTCCCTCTCAAATACATAAGTAAAATCTTAAAAAAAAAAAAAAAAAAAGAAAGAAAGAAAAAAGCAGCAGCAGCAGCCCCGGGGTCTGGGCCCAAGTCCTCCACTCTCTACATGAATATCCTCAGGCCTCTCTAAGCCTCGTTTCCTTTTCTGTGAAACAGGGAAAACAGTTCTCATGGCTGATCTGTGGTCCACATGAATCACACATATGAAAACCCCCTAAATGCGGGACCACCCTTCGCCCCGGCCGTATTTGCCAGAGTCCCAGTGGCCCCACTGGAGCTGTATTTATAGCTGGGCTAAACCTGCCACAGGAAGGCAATTGGGGGTCCCTTTCCGCAGGGACAGAAGGGCCCCTGGGCCTCGTCTGAGCATGGGCAGCAGGGAGGGAGTGGCTGAAGTTCAAGAAAGGGGCTTTAGCAAGCGTCAGCGGAGGAGGACTCAAGGCGCAGTGAGTGAGTCCCCACAGGGGGTCGGATCTGCACGCACAGCCCCACCTGACTGCCCCCCATCCCCGTGGCCTCCGTCTTGCCCTCTCCTGAGGTCACAGCATGCTGGGGGAAAGGAAGGGTCCGCGGTTAGAACAGAAAGGGCGGAGATGCCCAGAGGAGCTCCAGAGCCTCATCTCTTGGAGGGGCTGGGACAGCATGGTCAGGGGCTGCCCGGCTGCCCCGGACCCGCCTGCGGCAAGGACCAGCCCACCTCCTCCGCACCTTCCCCGGCCTGCCCTGGCTCTTACTTGTCCAATGCTGAGCCTTGGCTCTGATTACTGGTGAGACGAGAGAAGACGTTCCGGTCATTGCGGGGCCGAGTAGGAGGGGACGAGGGGGGCGTGAATCCCACATCCGTGGACCTGGGGAGCGGGGACAGAGCGGCATCTGTCAGTGAGCACAGCCCTGGCCCACAGCTTCCAGCACCACCTTCTATCCGGTTTGGAAGGACCGCAGGGCAGGGCTGGCTGTGCAGTGATCCCAGAGCCCAGCAGACAGCCTGTCATCATTATTCATGGATGCCATGCTTGGGAATTCACCTGCTCATTACAGTGTATTAGTGACTCCAAATGAGCCCTCGCACTGCTGTGGGGGTCATTCCCAGACATCAAGCAGAGCAGCAAAAAATTCAAGTCCCCACATGTTCCCAGTGGAGGTCAAATGAGGCGCTTCTCTGCCTGCCTGTGGCCTTTCCTGTGATCTATTTAGGGCCATGTTTTTTGCATTTTTGTGCTTTTCGTTGGTGATTCATGGTTTAAAACACCCCCAAAGCATAGTGCCGACAGGCTGCCTGACACGTGTCTAAGCACAGGCAGGCTGTGCTGTGTCTTACGGAGAAAATACACATGTTACACAAGCTTCATTCAGGGGGAGTTACGATGCTTTTGGTTACAAGTTCAATGTTAAGGAACCAACAATATGTATTAATTAAGCTGCCTTTAAACAGAAACACACATGAAGCAAAGGTCTGTGTTGATTGGCTGATGAAATATTGTGACCAGAAGCTGTCAGGAACCCAACCCCGCATTTCCCCAAGAGCAGAGGCTGACTCAGTGTTCACGGTGCTTGGAAGAACTTAAGTGAATCGAGGGGCATACGGAGGATTCACCCTGTCGTCAGGGGAGAGTCGAAGACCACTGCTCTGCCCCATTCCAGCAGCGGAACATCCCTCTCTTTGGAAAGTTGTCATCAGCTTTGGTCTAAACCCTCCCTTCCTTTGAAGAGTCTTCATGAGTTCGGCCTAAGTCCCTTGGACTGCCACCTAAGTGTGTTCTCGGAATGCATAGGTGAAGGGAAGGTTACCACCCATCCACCTACCTGCCAAAGGCCCCACCACAAGCCACCGGCATGGGCATCTGCTCAGGCTTTGGACAGACGGGAAGGCTGGGAGCCTGAGCAAGTGCTCTGGTCACCTACCAGGTCGGGTGGCAAGAGATCATCTTGATCCCCTGCTCTGCTACTACCTAGTTGTGGGACCTGGAGAAAGCCATCAGACCTCTCCAAAAATCAGTGCATGGACCAGACGACCCTAGGAGGCAGGTGATCTGGAGATCACCTGGTGACCTGTAGAAGCTCTGCGGGTCCCAGACCAATTAGAGACTTGTCCACTGTTTTTGCAATCATCTCCCGGTTTTTCTTTAAACATCTACACGACCCTCACATGACAAGACCTTAGAAAGCTCACGTGAGACCTCAGCATGACAAGACCTTAGAAAGGGCTGAGACCTCCCAAGGAGCCCGGTCATGAAAAGGAGCTGAAGCACATCAGGACAATGACTGCAGAGCCACCAATATTGAGCCCGCATCAGCCAACTGGCAGCGGGCTTAGCCGTCCGATTCAAGGTGCTTATGGAGATTATGTTTGCTAAGCCCACGCCTGGTAGGATGGGGAAGGGACCATTAGGGGCAGCGGAATGACTTAGTGAGATTGGCCCAGATTCAAGTATGCATAACGACCTCCAGAGTAGACCATCACAGTGACTCACGCACCCCGCAACGGCGGGGACTCTGGTGCAGGTTCGGAAACGTGCTCTCACCTAATGGGCTGCCCTCGGTCATACGACTTCCTTCGGGTCAGAGGGGATGTCTCCGTGCCTCGAGACTGCCGGGGGCTAGAACAGAAGGGTCCCGTGAGACCCAGACCTGACTCCTTGCCCACCCTGCTGACCCATACCCCTGGCTCCCCTCCTTACAAAGTACTGCCTCTGCTGGGCAGGCTGATGGTGCGCGAGACCTTGTCCCGGTAGTATGGGTCTCGGACGGAGAGGCCGACTCCGTCCTCTTTGATCTCAACAAGGGAGGCCAGGGACTTGGTGATGTTCTTGGTGGAGCTATCCAGCGGGGGACCCAGGCACTCAGCTGACACAGCCTTCATTTGAGCAGACAGTTTGGGCTCACCCTGGGAATGGAAGGACTGGGGTGAACCAACTTGCCCAAACATAAAGGGGGGCTGGGAGAATTCTAACGAAGGAAATAATGCCTCTTGGCCTACGGTAGAACCACCAATGGAAGAGCCAGGTGAGTAGTACCCAGAGACCCTCTCTCAAGGCTTCTAGAGAAGCCAAAGCACTAAATGGGTTTTATGGCCCTTATCCAGACTCTGCACATACAGAATGCCCAGGATGACCTCTTTGCTCGTTACCACTGAATCAGCTTATCCAAAAAACTATGCACAATTCATTGTTCCCTGTATGCAGCTCCTCCTTCTCTGTTTAATAAATCCTGTTTCTTAGTTCAGACTAGTAACTGATCCCTCGTTGGTGGGTGCTGACTCCCATACTGTTGAATCAGTAATCTGCATGGAGAATAACTGAAGGTCTAGACTTAGTCTTTGACCCAGAGCATGAGGCAGAGTCTTAGGCAGGAATGGGGAGATTTTTGAAAGCAGGGCCTCTGGCTCCGGTGACATCACTGGGCAGTGACTCCAGCCACTTCTCCCACCTTCCACCCACCTCAAAAAGAATGGGTTGTAACCAGTTACACATCTGGGGACCTCCCAATTCCTCCCAGCTGGAGGCAATACTGAGTCAGGGCTGGGGGGTGAGGGCAGAGCCACAGGAAGGGGGAGACCAGGCCCTGAGGCAGTGGCGCTCACCTTGAACTTGAAATCATCATGGCTGGTGGAACCTTTCATGGTGAATGACTGGGAGAAGCTAAGGAAGAAGCAGAGGGAGTTCAGGCTCCTGAGAGCCTACACACTGGCTCTCTAAGCCTTAGGCCCTGGGTTCCAAAGAGCCCCCAAATAGGCCTAGCCCTGGGACCCTATGGCAACCTGCCCCCCAACCAGACCCAGGTTCATGCTGTGAGCCAACCGCTCCCTCCCAACTTAGAAACTCACCTCCCCTCAGAGAACTCAGAGATTTCCTCATCCGTGCTGGCGTAGCCGTTCTCTGTGGGAGGAGAGGAGGGTTGAGAGGCCCCAACAGAGTGAGGGGAGGGGGGATGGCCTCCCTCCCATATCTCATCCACTGGCATCAGACTGGGGCTCGTGAGGGAGTTCTGGGGGCGGTGAGGGTCACCCCTGGGGGTTCGAGCTAGGCCGCACTGGGAAAATGCCGGAGCTTCGAGGCCTCGCCCACAGCCGCCGTACCCTGTTGCACGTTGTTGATGAGGGCCTGCAGCTCGGGGTGCGCCTCCGCCTTCTCTCGCAGGGCATCCAGGAGCAGATGGTTCTGAGAGGAGCCTGCTATGTCGGTCTGCCTCAGCCGCCCCTCCAGCAGCCGGATCTGGGCCTCCTTCTGTGCCACTTGCAGCCCCTGCGGGCAGGGAGATAGGCCTGTGTTTACCCTCCCCCGCCTGGAATCCTGGGGACCCTCATCACCACCCTCACACAATGTGCTCCCAAGACACCATGGGGGGTGCCCTGCCCCGACATCAGCCCCGTGCCTGCCCCGGAGTCGGACTAACTCCCCGACATCACCCGTGTGCCTGCCCCAGACCAGAGACGCACCACTCCCCTCCTTAACTTTACTCACATCCACAGGTTGGTGGAGGTTGCCTTAGGCTACACTTCCTTGTTATGGGCTGAACTATGTCCCCACCCTCCCACATTCCTATGTTGACCCTCTAACCCCCAGTACCCCGGCACGTGACTATATTTGGAGACAGCGTCTTGAGAGAGGTAATTATGTTAAAATGGGGTTCTTAGAGTGGGCCCCAATCCCCTATCACCGGTGGCCCTAGAAGAAGTCAGGACGCAGGCACACACAGAGGGAACACAGCATGAAGCGGGAAGGGAGTCCTTTTACAAGCCAAGGAGAAAGGCCTCAGAGGCAACTAGTCCTGCTGGCGCCCTTAACTGTGGACTTCCAGCTCAGAACCGAGAAAATCAGTCTGTGCGTTTGGTGCCCCGGTCTGTGGTACTTCATCAAGCAGCCCCCCAGGAACTCAGTCCCCTGTAACCTGGAGGAGAGCTGGGAGCTTCCCGCAGACAGGGGACGTCTCCCCGGCCCCTCGCCAGAGTTACGCGGCGTGGATACTGGGCGGTGTCTGTCCTCAAAGACCACAGGCCCCAGCAGGAAGGTGGCCCATCCTCCAGCCAGCTCTCTGTCGGGGACAGAGCCCATCTGATGGGAACGGGGGCTTTCTGCTTCCCGCTGCCCCAGCCCTGGTATACAAACTTCTCCCAACACACCCGAGCCCTGCTGGGGACGCGCCTCGACCAGACATGAGGGTCACTTCTAAGGGAGGGCCTGCTTTGTGACCGGCATTGTGCCAAGCCCCAAGCACGTGTCACCTTGTGAAAGGCACACAGCAAACGAGGAGCTTGGTGCTGTCCTCGCCCCAGTTTTAGAGCTTGGGAATCAGAGGCTGGGAGTGAAGCAGCTTGCTCTAGCCTGTAAGTGATGGGTCAGGATCCAGGCCTGTGTACCGCCCCACAAGGGGGAGATGACAGAGATGCTGTGACTGCAGCTCCCACGCCGCCCCACCCTGCCCAGGAGAGCCGCTGGCCCACCTTGTCGATGGATGCCTTGAGGAAGTTGTCCAGCAGGAGGCGGGCTTCGGCCAGGGAGCAGGAGCTGATGACCACGGATGTGTCTGTGGAGTCCAGCTCCTCCTAAGATGGAGAGGCAGAGACCCCCTGTCACCGAGACTGCCCCCAACCCCCCGTGTCTCTCCGGCCTCTTCCCCGGCCACCGGTCCAGGCCCCGTGGGCACCTTGGTCTCCTCCAGCTGCACGATGGTGGCCTGGCAGTCGGTGATGCTGTCGTTGATATAGTCGATGTTGGCCGCCAGCACCTCGATCTCCTCCGCCAGCTCCTGCAGGCCCTTCTCCTCCTCCGGGCTCTCAGCCTGCAGCCGTTCCCGCTTCCTCCGCAGCGCCTCCTGCAGGAGGAACAGCTCCTCCCTTTTCTGCAGGGAGGGTGATGGAAAAGCTTCAGGTTCGCTGCTGCCCAGCTCCGCCCACTGTTCCCTTCAGGCCGGGTCCCTGGGTGCCCCCTGCACCTCTGGATTCCAAAGCAGGCACAAGGAGTGGGTGGAAAGGGGATGAGGCAGTCTGATGAGCCAGAGCCATCAGAAGTGGCAGAGGAGGGGAGATGGGAAGGAAGCAGAGGCAGGAGCCCCGGGACCCCTGTGCTCAGACCCACCTTGATGAGCCGCTCCATGTCAGCCTCTAGGTTGACAATGGTCATCCTCTGCATGACGATGTCAATAATCCTCCGTTCCAGGGACTGCCACTTGAGCCTTGCAGCCTTACTGAAGCTCTGGCTGGCCCCCTTCTTCTGGAACTTCTTTCTGGGAGACAGATGCAAAGGGAATTGGTTGGGAGGACTCCCTTTTATAAAGTTTTCTTTCTCTTTCAGGTTTTCTGTATGTATTTGGTCATTTAACACTGTTAATAACATGTTCTTTTGGGGGGAAAATGCATTTTTAAAATCATCTTGTTGTATTTTATCATTTTTTTTCAGCATAACAAGTGTACTCTTTAATCCCTATTCCTTATTTCCCCAACACCCTACCCACCTGGTTAGGAGCACACTCAAGCTCTGTAACTCCACGGGCACCCCTGCACCCCCCAGCCCCATAGCTGACATCCGTGGGGACCCATCACAGGACCCCATGTCCGCCAGGCTCGCCTCCCCCTGGCCCTGACCGTCCGCCTCACCTAGCAGGGCGGGTGCCGTTGACAGCAGATGCAGGGTGGTCCCCCGAGAAGTGGTTGATTTGGCGGTTCCACTGGCGCACGATGCTGGAGACGGATCGGGCCCCTGATTCAGCCTCAGATGATGTGGTGCTGGCTGACACCTCAGCCCCCGAGTCCAGCATGGGAGGCTTCGGTCCCGCACGCCCCGCCACCCGCTCGGACATGGGCTTGGCCAGGCGCCTCAGTGCAGAAACCTGGGGCAGAGAAGAGAGGAACCCAGTGAGGGGGGCGTGGCTCTGGACTGGGGGTTGCCGGATAGGATGAATCCAGGGGGAGGCTCTGTCCTTGCCTGAGCTGGGGACTGAGAGACAGCCAAGGGCTCTCTGATGTGAAACGAACACGAGAGACTTCTACCTTTCTCATTAAGGTCTGAGGCCTCTGGGACCCGAGCCTGCAGCCTACCTTCATGCCTCAGCCCTCTTGTTGAGTAAGGCCCTTGTGACGGGCCTCATGTGGGCTCTGCTCCCCTGTGTGTGCTGAGTGACAAGGGAGAGCCAGAGCCACCAGTGGGATTGTCCGCTCCCGACTCCAGAAGAACTCAGGAGAAAGGGAGCCACGTCTTGCTCACCTCCTGGGTTTTCCGCCTCAGGACAATTTCCTGCTGCCGCTTCTGGGACTCGAGCGCTCGGATCTGAAACTATGGGTGAGGGAAGGGAGTTGGCGTCCACACTTAGGCCTCACGGCCTGGTCTGCCCAGCTCTGTAGGCAAAAGCCTGGCTTTTGGGCGGATTCTCATTTCGCCTGAATTTACTGATCATATGTGACCCCAAGTCTGGCCCCCATTGCAGAGGTCACCACGCAAACCGTTCTCTGGGAGCAGGGAATTCCCTCAAGATCTCATCCACACCATGACAGGGAACCCGTGACCAGCGGGCTCAGGGACAGGAGTTGCACAGTCCCAGCTCTGGCTTGCTGGTGACCCTGGGCAAGGGCCTGCCCTCTCTGGGGCTCAAGTCTCCCCACCCCCCACCCTGCACTAGAGGGGGCGGACCGGGAGCTCGCCGTGCAGGTTCCCTCCCATGCTAGGCCGCGTCCTGCTGCAAGTGTGGCTGTTACTGCTCAGGGTCATGGGAGCCGAGAGGCAGCCAGGCACACAGGGAGGTAGCAGTCCCCAAGGGCGGCCCCTCACCTCCTGTCGTCGCTGTTCCTTCTTGAGCTGAGCAATCTCCCGGTTCCTCTTAGTCTCCACCAGCCGCCGCCGCTGCTGCTCCTCACGCATTTGCTTCATCAGGGCCACCTGGGACAGGCAGGGGTGGTGGGGGTGAGGCGCGCTGGGCAGTGGGCACCCACATTCTCCAGGGAGGCCTGGCTCTGAGGCAGGGGCGACAGCCTGCCAGGCCCCTGGTTTGGGGCTCAGGGGTCTGGAGTGAGGGGTCTGCTCCCACTCCTCCATGCGAGCTGAAGCTGCCAAGTGCCTGGGCACCCTGCTGGAAGGAGTGGCCTTCCTGCCAGCCCAGCTGTGCAGGTGTGACCACTCTGCAAAGTTTAACCCTGATCCCCACTTTCAAATGCCACGGCCCCCAGTGGCCTCCTCCCTGAGCCACCATCCTGGGTTTGGCCGATCGAGGACCAGCCTGGGGATGCTCGAGGCAGCACTGTCCTCTGTCCCATGGATAGCTGAGCAGGAGACGGGGATGAGGTGAGAGTCCAAGCCACATTCTAGGGCCAGGCTCGCAGTCACAATAAAAGCCACCACCATTTATCAAAAACATGCTATACACCAAGCATTGTTCTTGTGACAGTCACATGAGTGAGGCATTACCATTCTCGTTTTATAAACAAGGAAATGAACCTCAGAGAGACAAATGACTTAGAGTCATGAAGCTGGGCATGAACGGTCAGACTTTTGGCCCAGGTCATTTTGCCCCTGCCCCCAGTCTAGCTCTTACTATAGCCCCACGGAAGACAGCATGCCAGTTCAGAGCAAAACCAGTGATCAAGCATAGGAATTCTGGAACCTGGAGTCATCAGAGCTGTGGCAAAGGCACAGAGAGCACCCTTGGTGTAGCCCGAGACAACTTGACCGGCTAGAGAGCCGTGTACCTGGGGTCCCCTCCCACCACGTCCTGGGGCCTGAAGCATGACAGTGCAGTGTACACAGGGTTTTAGACACTTTCCAAGTAACAGGGAAATGAGAGTCACGCGGAGGTCGATCCTTTTGCCACTGAGGCCTCAGACATGACCAGAAATATCACCAGCCTGCCCTGCCCTGAGGACAGTCTTGAGAGGAAATGGCCTGAGAGGGAGGGAGGCAAGGCTCTAAAGGGGCTGGGGGGAGGGGGAGTTGGCTTCTCTCTCAGAGAGCAGGCTCTGCAGGGGTGAATCTACAGAGAGGAGGAGGGCTTGCTGCTGCTGGGTCTTCAGGGTCCAGAATGAGTATTTTCCCCAAGGATGGGCAAGAGCAGGGCAGCCCAAGCCTGACCCGAGATGGTGGTATCTGCTGGGGTCTTCCTGGGGAGGAGCTGTGTCGCCCTAGATGGAGAGCCATCCGCCCAAAGTCCCATGCCTCCCTTTCCCATGCACAAAATGGGAATAATAACCAGACCTCCTTCTTCTCCTCAGGACTTTAGTACCTACGCTCATGCACATTAGGCGACTAGCCTAGAGGCTGGCCACAGACAGCATGCGAACAGTGGTGATTACTGTTGTTATTAGACGCAGGGCCCCCTACTGCCCCCACCCCCCCGCCCCCGCGAGAGGCCTCAATAGGTCCTCCGGCCGCGGGGCCGCAACTGTAGTACACCTTCCTACCACGGGGGGCAGTGTTGAGCAGCACCCCCGGAGCTCCGCCCCTGCCCCTCTACTGGAGAGGCGGCTCCTCCTGGGGGAGGCGCAGGGCTCAGAGGACAGTGTCATCCTGGGCCACCCCCTCATCGCCTACCTTGGCCTTCTTCATCTCGGCCACCTCGGCCTGCAACTTCTTCAGTTCCCTCTCATAGCGGGACTGGTTCTTGAGCAGCCGCGCGTGCTCCTTCTGCGCGGCCTGGAGCTTCTGCAGGTCCCGGTTCATCTCCCGCAGCCGCTTCTCGTAATCCGCCTTGATCTTGTTGGCCTTCTCCTCCGTGTAGCACTCCATGGTGCCTGAGAGCGGCAAGAGGCGGCTGTCAGTGCCACGCGTGCCCAGGTGTTCTCAGCTTCGAGATCAGGGGGTGTGTGGCAGGAGGGGGAGCCGGGGCGCTAGTCTCTCCGCAGGACTGTGAGCAGGTCGCACCCTCTGTGTGCCTGCTTCTTATTTACACAATGAGAGGATCAGGCTCCCCTTCCTGCTCTGGCATTGTATTGGACTTTGAGCGGGGTGTTTTCATCTCAAGATCCACGAGCCCCCGGTCAACAGCTTCCTGTGAGGGTCCTGTGGGCCACCCCTGCTGGCTGGGTTGGGACCCACGACTGCAGGAAAGGGCCAGGCCAGCGGGAAGGACAGAGCTGTAAGCAGACAGCGATGCCGGCCAGAGCAGAAGGAATAGGCAGATTCTCTATCCCTGACCTTTGCTATCTGAAATGCCAACAGGCGTCTCCATGGAGATGTGTGGCAGACATCTCCGACTTAACAGGCACAAAACCAGACTCCCAATCGCCGTCTCCGTCACCCCAGCAGGCTCCCCTGTCTCCATAGATGTCACCACCACATTTCCAGAAGCTCGCAGACTGGAGACATCCTTGGCTCCCCTTACACCCTCCACCCAGTCAATCAACAAAACCTTTTGTCTCTACCTTCCAAATGTATCCAGAACGGGACCACTCCTCACCACCTCTGGCCTAAATCCTCTTTCACCAGGATCTTTTCTTTTTTAAAACTTTTTCCCTAATCATTCACCAGGATCTTGGTTAACACTTTTCTAACTGCACTCACACCACCACTTGCATTCATCCCCCTACGGAGCAGCCAGGCCCCTCCCCTCCCCCCACATGCTTTTAAAAGCTGCATCACATCCCTCTCTCAAAACTCCACACCTTCCCGTCTCCCTCAGAGAAGAAAGCGATGTCCTTATAATGATGGGCGTGACCTGGTCCTATAGTTCTTCCATTACCCCCCCTCTTGCTACTGTCCCCTTTCACTGTGTTCCAGCTGCCTGCCCCTGACCACTCCACCAATCTGCCAGGCACACTCCTGCCTCCCAGGCTCAGCATCTTCTCTGCCTGCAGTGCTCAGCCTGTGCTCCCTCTCCCTGAGCTTTCTCTCACGTCGTTTGGGTCGCCTCACATGTCACCTTCTCCGCAACACGCTCTTTATAAGACATCACGCCACTCCCCGCCACACCTTGTCCCCTGTTCTCCCTCCCTGCTGTTTTTTTTTTTTTTTTAAGGCACTGATCCCCATGGGGCATGTCACAGACTCTGCTCATTTATCTTATTTATGTGTCTCTCCCCATCAGAGCGTCCCTGTCATGAGACAAGGAGTTTGCTCACCTCAGTGTCTCTAGCGCCTGGAATAAGGTCAGCTCTGTAAGACCGAGTTGACAAATGTTTGCTGAGTCAGTAAATGAATGAAACAGTGATCGGATGAATGTGTGAAGAGCAAGTGTAAAGACGATCAAATGGGACGAGTTAGTTTGTAAATGGTTTTAAAGGAGAATACTCAAGGTACTGAATGTAGAAAAGCAGCGGCGGGGCGTCACACCCGTGTGCCTAGGGAAATAAAGAATTCTAATACTTAAGATGCTAATAATACTTAAGATGTAAAATGTAGCATAGAAGTGGGCGTAGATGTAGACATTGTTGACAGTGGGTCGGAGGACCAGAGTCCAAGCGTCAGAGGACCAGGGAAATCCCCAAAGTGCCAGCTGCCGGGGCTTGTGACAGCGGAGGGCCCTCAGGGGAAAGCGAGGGCCCGGGCAGGGCGGGGAGGAGGGGTCCTCACTGAGGTTCTGCAGCACGCGGTCGCGCTCCAGCTGTGTGTCCCGGATCTTGTTCTGAAGCAGAATTAGCTTCTCCTCATACTGGTGCTTCAGGGTCTGCAGCCGCCGCTGGCTGTTCTCCAGCTCATCGATCAGCTTCTGCTTGATCTCGATCTCACACGTCAAGTCGGCCAGGTCGGCCTGGAAGTTCACCTCTGTGGGGCAGAGACAGGCTCAATCCAGCGCCCGGGGCTTAGGGTGCGAGCGGGGCGCCGGGGGCTTTCCGTTGGTCAGCCACAGCTGACTGACCAGGGACCGGAGGCTGAGGGCAATGGTAAGTCCCACGGTGGGTAAGGGCTGCCAGGTGGGGCGACACAGGAGAAGACCGGCCTCAGGAACTGGAGGCTGGCCCAGGAGCGGGCAGGGGTTGTCTAGGCATCCCACCACCCCTGCTGTGCCCCAGAGGCCAATGTCTACCTGCCGTAGATGGTATGGGACCCAGCCTAGGGGGAGGAGGGCTGTGGGTCAGAAATGGTGGCAGGGCGGAAGGGACAGGGCAGGTGCCCCCATTTAGAGGAGTGGGTTTCAGCAGCATTCAAGGCCCGGCTCTGCACCTGCCACACTGGGGAAAGTCACTAGACTTCTCTGGGATTGGGGGAACTCCAAATACCTATGCACAGGGTTGTAGAGAGAACGGAAAACCCCAGGCCACGTGGCCTATGATGAGCACCGCCATCCGTATCACCACTGTTGTTGTTGGTGGTGGTGGTGGTGTCATGACTGGGAGTCCCGGGTCCTGGACGTCCACATTCTTTGAGAACGCAAATAAGGCCTGACTCCAGCCAAGGGGCATGTGGCTCAGGGTCTTGTAACTAGAAGGTCTGAGCTGTTGCTCTGGGCCCAGTGCTGACTGACAGCCCGCCCCGGGAACCTGCCACTTGGCGTGTCACCTCCCCCTGCCCTGGCCTGGGCACACGCACCCTTCTCATCAGGGTCCGAGTCCGAGTCCACCAGGCTCTCCTCACTGCCCGAGTCCTCGTCTTCATCCTCACGGCCCTCCTCTTCCTCACAGCCACTCTCGTCTCGCTCTTCCTCCTCCTGGGCACCAAGCACCATTAGGGGTGGCCAGTGGGCCCTCCTCACTCAGGCTGGGCCTGGCCTCAGGGAGGCGAGCCCAGAAGTAGAGGGAGTCTGGGCAAGGCCTCAGGTGTGTCAAGAGGGTAGGGTATGGGGCAGTCAGGGCCCCTTGTGCCCACTCCCAGTCCCAAAAGAGTAACCGCCTGACTCCCCCAGTAGCCAGGGCAATGGCGCTCTGGGAGAGCCGCCCTCCCAGCCTCACCCATTTGGGATGAGGTGGGAGGACTGAGGGGTGGACATCACCATGACCACAAGTCAGCCACACTGGAGGCAGACCTAAGTCCCTCCCCAGCCCTGCCAAGGTGGTCATGGGGCTCCCCCCACTTGGCAGAGACACGAGGTGGGGGTGGGGGAAGGTAAGCATGTAGAGCGGAGGGGACAGGGACAGTCCCTCACCTCCTCAGCCTCATTCTCGTCGGTCTCCTCACTGTTTTCCTGTTGGAGTTTTGCCCTCTTTTTGAAGGCCTCCTTCTCTGGGCTGCCCAGGAGGGAAGGGTAGGCCAGGTTAGCTTTGCACATATGGCAGGGAGTGACAGGGAGGGCAGGAGGATGGGGCTGCGTTCCTGTTCTGCAGAGAATCTGGCTGCCCCTCTCTACCCCCAATCTAGAATTAACCTGGGTAGGCTCCATCCTCCCTCCCTCCCCTCGGGGGAAGGAGCAGCACTAGAGGAAGGTGGGCCACTGCTGCCCAAAAGGCTGAGCAAATGGGCTGAGCTCCTGAGTAGCCCTGGAGCAGCTCCTGGCTACAGGCAGGCGGGCAGCCAAGCTCCCAGAGAGCCCGCAGGGCCGCGGGCACACTCCGCTCACCTCTTTCTCCGCTGTCTGACCTCCTTCTTCTTGAGCCGCTCCAGGTCCTGCTTGGCCCTGCGGATCACCTCCGAGGCATCCTCCATGGAGCTGGCCGGGCTGCCCCCAAAGGCGGGAGCGCCTGGAGACGCGCCCAGGGAGTAGGGGCTCCGAGTGGAGGCCCGGGAGAGGCTGCGGCGCAGGGACTCGTTCATGGCCTCGCTCTCCAGCAGCTTCGTCCTGCGTGAGGAGAGCCAGCAGTTGGGGCCAACAGAGCTGGCACTGCCCGCACTGCCCGGGGCTCTGCCCAGCCCAGGCCCTCCTCCACTGTTCCCAGATAGGCCGGGGTGCTCACCGCAGCTCCTCGATTTCCCGGATATAGTTCTGGATCAGGGCACCAATGGCCTCGTTGCCATCACCTGGAGAGGGAAGACAGCAGAGGGCAATACAGAAGGTAAGGCGCGCGAGGACCTGCGGCTTGGAACTGGTGGTCCTGTACCAGGGCCCCAATAGGGTAGCACACATGGGCCTTTCCCCAAAAGGAATCTACATCGAAGAAGCACCCGTCTGCGGGTCGGGTATGCGCCAGCCCTGCTGGAGGGACAATCAGGCTCCGTCCAGAGAGGGTGGCTGTCAGGCAGGGTCTGCCGTCCTCCCGCGGGGAACACGGGGAACACTGTGCAATTGATGAGAATTAAGTAGATTTGTATGTTTTAATGTGGAAAAATCTCCAAAGCATAACGCTAAGTGAAAATGGGAAGTCACAGGGCAATACGTATGGTCCCATACACAGAAAAAGAAAGGGCAGTATATATTCCCACACACCTATGTGCATAGGTACATATGAATACATAGTCACACTCAGAGCAAAGGACTGAGAAAGGTGTGGGAAGACATGCATGGAGCTTCTAAGTAGAGAGGATGTGGAATGGAGAGTTTAGCAAGAGGGGATTTCATCATTATACACCCATGTAAGCAAGGAGGATGTATTCATGTATTGCTTATGGGCATAAAAAAAGGTTTAAAATCAGCTGGGGGGCCCCTGAGGGGGTCAGTCAGTTAAGCATCTGACTCCTGATTTTGGCTCAGGTCATGATCTCAGGGTTGTGAGACTGAGCCCTGCATGGGCTCTGTGCTCAGTTCCTCTGCTGCTCCCCCAACCCCTGGTGTCTCTCTCTCTCTCTCTAAAATAAATAAATCTTTTTAAAAAGTCAGTTGGAAAAAAATTCATAAATGCATTGATCTGTGAATTGATTGGCTGGCCCAGCTTGCCTAATATCCTAGGGTGGATATGGGGAGAGGGGGTCCCAGTCCATTGGGTGTCCGAGCTGGGCTGGTGCACCTGACTCACCGGCCTTGGCCAGAAGCAGATTGGCTTCCTGGCTCATGAGATGAGTGACACGGTTGTTGATGGCATCGATGGCCTCCTGCATGGCCTTCACCCGCAGACGCAGTGCCCCATTCTCCTTCTGCAGCATGGCGTTCTCCCGGAACAGGTCACTGTAGCCCTCAGCACCGTCCTCCCCAATCACTCTCTTGCCCTGGGAAGAGGAGGGGCAGGGCAGGCAGGGAGCAGTCAGGGGCAAGAGCATGCAGGGTGGGGAAGGGTTGATGATGCTTCTGGCAGCACCGCCAAACTGCCCCCCCCACCCCATGTCTCCTAAAACACAGCTCCTGTCTCCCAGGGCTCTCCCTGACAACCAGGAACTCCAAATTCTATCACCAGCCATTCCAGCCACCAGCCCCCCGCAATCTTACCTTGACTTACCTTTCCACCGCCTACCTTCACATCACCATAAGTACTAACCCAAGGGCCAAAACCCTAAGAGGCCCTGGCAATGGGCATAAATGAGTCTGAATACAAGACAATAGGGAGTGGTGGGGACTGGAGCTAACAGAGTCACAGACTCAGTCTCAAAGGGTCAGCAACTATGCCACTCCAGCCAGCATAGTACTATATATTGTTAGGTCTTCACATTTTTCAAGGAAAACTGAAATTCCTTGATTTTTAGAAAGGTAGGCAACCAAGTTGCATTCTTTTAAAACAAAGGACAAGCAAACCAAAACCCGTTTGTGTACCAGATTTATACCCTGGCAACCAGCAGCCATTGACTTCTGCCTAAGTCATATGGAATTAGACACTTCCCCAGAAGCACCTGTTTCTCCCATCTTTGTTTCCAGGTGCAGGGAGTGTTTGCACCCTAGAATGCCTGCCCCACTTGCTTTTGATGCTATCTCATTCATTTTTCAAGATCTATATAAAAGGTCCCCTTCTTTGTGAGGTCTCCCCTGACAGAGCACCTGAGTGAAGAGGGTCATCTCTCTCCTCTGCCCTGCCCCCGGACACACTAGATGACTCACGTGGTCCCCATTGATTATTCTGATTCTGCACTCCAGCCTAGGAATCTCATATGGTCCAAAGCAGCATATTCAGCGGACATGAAAACACCAGGCAGGGCATTTGTCCTCTGCATCAGAGCTAAGGAACAGCTGCGTGCCCTCCTTTCTCTTAGGGTGCTAAAACCCTGGGGGCTCTGACTGGGCTCAACTCACTCAGGTGAACCCCCCATCATGGCCGACATACAGCCAATACGCAGGAAGCAGCAAATAGGAGGGGAGGGAGAGGAAGGGGGGGCACCGAAGAACTGGGGCCCACCGTGCCAGGGACCGTGCTCACCGCCTTATACTCCATCAGCTCCATCTGCAGCCGAGCGATCTCGGCCCGCAGGGCGCTGATCTGCTGGCTCGTCTTGTCCTGGTTCACCACCACCTTGTTCTTGATGTTGCGGGCCCGGTTGGCATATTTGAGTGTGTTGAGCGTCTCCATGAAGTCCCGGTCAGAGGGGCTCACACAGGCAATCATGATGGTCTGGCTGGAGGGGTGCGGTAGGAGAGTGAGGTGCGAGGGGCTCAGCCCAGCCCCCAGAAGCATCACTCCAGGGTACAGCTCCTGCTCCCAACCCATTCCCATACTGCCTTAATGCCCTAAGGACCTGGGCATTCACCAGGGCAAGCACCTGGGACATGGGACTCTGGACCACCTGGCCACAGGGCTCCTTCCAACTGCGGTAACCCACAGCGAAGGCAGCCGGCAGTGTGAGACGTCCCTGCTGGTCACAGCTCTGTATTTTCTTAGTGGCTTCCATCCATTACTTCATTTGGGCTCTATCACTTCAAGACTATCTCTCCCTTCTGTGCAGACAGGGAAACTGAGTCTGACCATACTAGCCAGAGGTCATACAGCATCTCAAGTCTCCTGTCTCCCAAGCCCACAGCCTGCAGTAGGACGGCCTCCTCTTCCACCAGGCCCTCATCAGGATTTTCCAGCAGGGTCCCACCTCCCCTGGCCCTTCCCTGGATGTCAGCTGTGGGTACCTGTTGCCCCCCAGCGAGTCCTGCCCCTTCCCTGGATGTCGGCTGTGGGTACCTGTTGCCCCCCAGCGAGTCCTGCCCCTTCCCTGGATGTCGGCTGTGGGTACCTGTTGCCCCCCAGCGAGTCCTGGAGGAGCCGCGTGAGCTTCGAGTCCCTATATGGCACGTGCACCACCTTCTTGCTCTGGTCCCCCAAGGCGCTGATCACGTTGCCCAAGGCCAGCTGTGGGAGACAGACCCTGGCACTTGAGAGACATGCAGGGAAAGGGGGAGTGGACACAGGACAGCCCCCAAGCCATCTTTACCTGCCTCGATGACCCAGCACCCCTCAAGCTCCCTGATAGGGTTTATGTGCAGATGTGATTGTTTGAGAAGTCAAGAAGTTGGGGGCAAGGGGGAGGACAGAGGGCCAAATGCCTAATAATATGGGTGCCCTGGCTAGCAGCCAGCAAGAGGCATAGGGAGGACGGGGCAGCCGTGGGCCTGGAGGGTCTGGAAAGGGTCTGAGCTGTGTAGGCCGCTGGGGCTGGTGACCTGCCGAGTGCCTACCAGGCCGCAGTTGATGGAGATGCCCTCCTTGGCCCGCTCGCCAGTGGCCCCCGTCCGCTTCAGCCGCTCTGAGCCAGCCAGGTCCACAAAGTGAAACTTAGCAGTGAGCGTCTCATACTCACTGGTGGGAGCAGTGCCCTCAGGAAGCCCAGTCACCACCTCGTTCACCTGCGGCAGAAGTTGGCAACTGATATACTTGGCCTTCACCTGGTCTTGCGGCTCCTCGGCTCTCGGTCCTGGTCCCTCAGGAATGCCGTCTGGGGGGGGGATTCAGGGCTGGGAGGGCAGGCTGCCCCTCCCCCTCCCCGGCACGTGACAGCATCTGACTGTGTGCACAGTACTTGCACATGCCAGATTCTCATGCAAGCCTCAGAACCATAGGGGTATGGTTATCCCATTGTACAGGTTGGAGGACTGAGGCTTAAGAAAAAAGAGAAAGAAAAATCCACGAGGGGCCAAAGCAAACCCCAACCCCCGATTTGCTAACTTTGGATCCATGGCCCCTCTCCTCTTCTTGCTCCCCTCTGAGAAGCCCCCCCCCCCACCACGACACCAGCTCCCGAGCCTCCATGGGTTCCTTACGGGGTCCGGCTGGGTGCACACGCGCATCTGGCACACATGGATGGTGAAGATGGCGTGTGAGCGCGAGCTCTGCACGTTCATCTGGGTGCTGGCCGTGGTGCGGGACAGGGCCCCCTGCTTTAGGCACTGGATCAGCTGCGGAAGGGGGCACAAGTGAGGGCATGAGCTGAGCCTTGGAGCCGGGCCCTGCCTGGCCTGGACTTCTGGTGGGTGCTCACCTCCTCCTGGGAGTTGATGAGGCGGGAAGTGACACCCGTGGTGTAGATGCCACCATTCCCATCCTCGTGAATCTTGATGTTGGACCTGCGGTGGCGGGCATCAGGGTCACGGGTGCTGTCAAACAGGTCAAGGATCTCCTCATTGTAGAGCTGTGTGGGGGCAAAAATGGCTGCTGGGTGCATGCGACACGTGGCGCAGGGCCTCCAAGGGGGCTTTCCCAGGTTTATAAACAAGCTCTGTTTTGCAGATGTGGAAACTGAGGCTCTGGGAAACGAACTTGCAGACCCTGGTCCCCTTGAGGGACAGCTGGGTCCTGGGCGAACTATAGTGAGGTTATGCTTCCGCTCCCTCCCCAAAGAACCAGCATTCAGCAGCTTTTGGTCTTGTCAGGGGACTAACGACCTAAAGGGACAAGGGGACTCAGGCCCTAGATGTAGATGAGGAAGATAGGACCATAAATCAGGCAGACTCTATTATGTTTGTTGCTAGGCTGGGAAAGGGGGTGGGGACGTGGTTTCGGATGAGGGAGGGGACAAGCTGAGCTCAGTAGAGACCATGCTTCAATCCTGATGCTCCCTGGGGGTTGAGGTGAGGACAATCTCCCAGTAGGGGAGCAATGTGGGCACTGAGAGCATGCCACTGGGGCCTGGTATCCTGGGGAGAGTCTGGAGAGATCACTTGGATGATGGGGGAGGTGGCTTGGCCAGGAGTAGTCACCTTATTTCACATGGTCTCAGCCTTAGAGATTCCTGTGTGGAATCACCAGCAGGGACAGCTTCACCTGCTGAAGGGCTGGGATACTCCCCAGGCAGAGAGCAGAGGCTCGGGAGTGGGGAAAAGGGACCGAGCAGCTTGGTCAGCGGCCAGCAGAATCCTGTGGGGGAGGGGCGGGCTGCAGACATCCGACATCCGAGGCTTTGATGCCTCAAAGGGACAGAAATACTCCACCGGAAGGGGAAGGGGAAACGGAAGGGACTGGTGCAGATGTGGGTGCCATGGTGTCTGTCTGTCTGTTGAGAGAGAGACGCACCGACATCATTTAACCCCTTGTGATTCACCCTTCGGCATGAGTTTTCTAGGCACTGCCCTACTTTTTGGGGATCCCCATGGCAACAGGATAGAGAAAAGAAGAAAACAAAGGGATGAAAAAGCTTATAGAGATACACAGCACTAGGGCACGTGCACACGCGTGCATGCGCACGTGCGCGCGCACACACACACACACACAAAGGAAGTCACTTTATCAGAAGCAAAAGTCCAGGAGGACAAAAAAAACCTCTCCAATCTGAAATACAGGGTCCCCTAAGGGGAAAGAAGCCACTCTGAGTGCCCAGGAAGGAGTCATAGTGCGGCAGTGGGCAGGGTGGGCCATGGAAGCCCTAGAGAGGGCTGGAGCCACACCTCTCCCTCTGAGGACAACCTGGGTGGGTACAGTCAGAGCTCAGGACAGTCCCATACCCAGCAAATGGCCCAGAACCAGGGGAGTCACTGGGTTGGGGTTTCAGATGCTGAGAACTGAAGCCACCTGGTTCGGGCGTCCTAAAGGAGGAGCCTGGTCAAGTCAGGCACTCATGAGAAGTAGCCAGGAAAACCTGCTTTCTTAGAGACCTTTTTGAGAGACCCCGTGATAGGCCAAAGACTCCTCCCTCTACCCCCAAAGTCCCCAGATGTCAAAAGCCTGGCCATGGCACAAAGACGTTCTCCCAGAGAGAGGCAGGACCAGTTGCCTTCTGGAGGACCTCCCTGCCCTGAGGTCAGAGAAGACTCCGAGGGTCAGTAAGGACATCAGCCAGAAAGGGGCAGGGCAGGTTGCTCTGAAGCAAACTGGCCGAGGCCAGAAGGATGGGCAGGTACCAGAGTTCTCACTGTGTGCCAGGCACGTGCTTCCGTGCCATTCTCACAACACCTGTAAGGAAATAGATATTACAGCCATCGTGCAGTGGCCTGAGGACAGACAGCTAATAAGTGTTAGAGCTGACAGTCAGTCAGGGTTTGAAGAGATCTTGACGGTTCTCAGTAACTCAAGCCCCCTCTGACATAGGAAGCCTCCTCAGAATGTCCCATCCAGAGGTCCTCTAGCGCTTGCTTGGGTATTTCCAGCAGCAGGATACTCAGCAGCTGGAGAAGTTGCTGGGGCTCTCCTAGGCTCATTCCACTGTCCTGGAGGTAAGCCCAACCTCCATGGTCTTGCTGTCCCCCAAATCTCCCTCCTGCCCCCACCACAAGGCCACAGTACCTCCAGGAACTGAGCGCTGACTTTGAACTCAGGCCCGGCCACACCCTGCTCCTGCGCCCGCCGCTTGCGCTCGGCAATGCCCCCAAAGAGGTGTGCTATGGCCCTTGGAATGATGCCTTGCTCCTCCTCCGATGTCACCGTGTCGAAGCCGGTGCCCATCGTATATGTCTTCCCGGCTCCTGTCTGCATCGGCAAGGATGGAAGGAGGGGGTCAGCACCCTCGGGGGGGCCACCAGCGAGCCCAGGACCCCAGGTCAGGTGGACTTCCCTTACCATGTACCTCCCCTCCAAGGTCACCTACCCCTTCTGGTCCCAAAGCCACACCCTGGGGGAGTCTCCTGGGAGGGACAGCCTTCCTCCGATAACTAGCAGTGTGACACATGCTGGGACAACAGACAGAACCGCAGCTCCATCTCAACAGGTCTGAAAGGGGACGGGGCGCTCTCTCCCACCAGCTGGGGAGACAAGGGTTGGAGGGGCCCCCTATGGGAGTGGAGGCGGCTTACCTGCCCATAGGCCAGCACTGTGGCATTGTAGCCCTCGAAGCAGCCCTCGATGAGCTTGCTCACACAGGTCGAATAGATCTGTTCCTGCCAGGTGTCCAGGTCGAAGACAAAGTCATAGGTGAAGGCCTTGTCCTTCCCCAGAAGGACCTGGGGCTCCCCGGGGGTGACAGAGGTACAGATGTGACAGCCCTCAATCTTCTCCTTTGACAGCTGGGGCCGAATCCTGCACGGCGAAGGGGAGAGCCCTGGGTCAGACCCGGCCAGCCGGGGACCGCCACAGCCCTCCACCCTCACGCTGCCTGCCAAGCTTCCACTTCCCCAGGCCCCCTCCAGCCCCCACAAGCTGGAGAGAAGGAAGGAAGCTTAGGAGCCTCCCCAGAGGACAAAGGCAACTTTTGTAACAATACAATAATAATAAGAGTAAGATTAATATCTACTCCACCCAAACATTTACTGAGTTGCTAACGTTTTTCAAGTGCTCTATGTATGGGGGACCTGGGTTAAAAGTATTTTACGTAAAGGAATTCATGTATTCTCCACTATAAATCTGTGAGGTACATATTATTTGCCCAATTTTAAGATGAGAGAATGGAGGCTGACAGAGTTTAAGTGACTTGCCCAAGATTGTACCGGGGGGGGCGTGACAGAACCCACCCCCTCGTCTGACGTCAGAGCGCCCCACACACACCTGATTGAATGGAGAGCCCTAGAAATCAGTGTCCCAAAGATCAGGAAGAGAAGACAGCTTGCCCCCTTCTGGGAGGTAAGGCTTAACACCAGGATGCGGACAGGAGGGATAGGCCTGGCTGCCCCCACCCCCCAGTACTGAATTAAAGAGCAGACCACAGCTTCTGCCAAGGCCTACAGGTGCAGCAAGAGTCCTCCAGCTGCGGAGCCCCCTGTCAGATGCCAGAGCCCGGCAGAACATTCTCAGGCACCAGCTCTCGTTCCTCTCCAGGAGCCAAGGGGGCTAGACCAGGTCAAGCCAAAAGTCAGCTGAGAAGGGCGGGGACCCCGACAAGGGACACAAGGTCAGCCATGGGAGGGGTCCAACCCCAGCTCCCGGGGTGGGGGCTCCCTTACAAGAGGAAGGAAAGTGGCACCAGGGCTGAGTGGGAGCCGGCCATAGATAGGGCTATCTCCATCCAGCCACCTCTTCTCCCTCTTCTAAGCAGCCATTGCCATGACAAGGTTCCCATGGCAACCAAGTGTGAGCCCGTGAGCATGCGCTGTAGGGACAGGCAGAAAAGCACTTCCCAAATGCCTAAAGTAAAAGGGGGGGGGGTACTAGGCCCTAATGCTCATGGGTTCACACAAGCCAGCCCTATCAGCCAGGCACTGACAATGAGCTGCTTGTCAGGCTCCCTTTCCCAAAGCCAACATTTACCAAGAGAAGAAAAGAGTGAGAGGGCCAGGCCAGCATGCATCCAGGGCCGAGGGGTCCTCGCCACAGAGCAAGGGCCACCAAGTCGCCATCCTGTCCCTGTCTGGGGCTGCCCCAGCCCCCAAGGCCCACACAGAGCTTCAGGCCAGGAGAGGTGCTCCCCCCTCAGGCTGTTGCCTGCACTTTGCTTCGAGAGGGCCAAAGAGGACTGAGGAGGGGGGTAAGTCCCAGGGGAGCGTGTGGGGGGAGTTGGCTGCACCAAGCCAAGTCCACACCATAGATGGTAGTCCGTGTTTTCTTCGCAAGTGTTTTCCCTTAGGTGTCAACGGGTCCTCCCAGGTCAATGGCTCTCTCTCATTGAGGCTGTCAGGAATGGAGGGTCACCACCTTCATCCACGCTCTCCAGCTGTTCTGGATCAAGTTGAAATTAGAACACAGCCTTTCGGTGTCCCCTTGAACTGGTTTCTGACTGGGAAGGGAGCAGCTGATTCTTGCTCATCCTCTCTAGAACCTACAGACCAGAAACTTGACTCACCAGTAAGAGGTCTGGGCCAGCAGTTCTCCTACTTCGACCTCTAATAGTGGCAACTGACACAAATTCGCACTCACTACATACCCCGGGGGTGTCTAAGCGCTGACATATACTAACTCTTGATCCTCAAGAGAACACCTGTGGTGGTGAATGCTACGATCCCGGTTTGTAGGGGAGGAAATGAGACAGTGCCCAGCCAGTCATAGATGGTAAGGGGCAGAGCGGGGCATGAACAGCATGTGCACGACCTCTCTGCTATTTCTATGCTACTGTGTCAGTAAGGGCAGGGCTCAGGGGGCCTGGGGGATAGAACGGCTCACAGACACAGGGAGACAGCAGGCAGCAACTCCAGAGGGGGCGTGGCCCTGCACACAAGGCGCCAGGTATGAAGCTGGAGCTCTGATCCTCGGAGCGGGCTCTGACCCCAGGCCTCCGGGACCCAGGACCAAATACTCACTGCCCAGAGCATCCAGGTGCTCCCAGGTGAACCAAGGGTCTGGCCAGGGAAGGCTCTGAGGAGCTTCCAGCATTGCTGGCCAGCACCAACTCCAGAAGACACCCTCCCTACCATGTGGGCTGTTTGTGATAGGATTTCTGGATCCAATTCAAATACCATTTAATTACCCTAGGCAGATGGCAGTGCTGGTGATTGGAGGAAATCAAATCAAGATCCCTGGAGACAGTGGGAGCAGGGGAGGGGGAGCAGCAGCCCTGCCTGGTGGAGTCCGTCCGTGAGAGGGGCTGCTTCTCCTGCAACAGCCAGCCCCAAGAACATGGGGGAGCCCACCTGCCGGGAGCAAGAGAGCAGGCAGAAGAGCAGTCTGGGAAGGAGGATGGAGAAGAGGGGCTCCAGAGCTTTAGGGTCCAGGAATTGTGCAGTCAGTCAGACATTCATCCCGGGGCCCTCATCCTGGGGTGTGAGGCCCAGCACATCTTGCGGCGGGGGTCCTCTGTGGGCAGAGAGAGCCAGCCCCCTCCACCCCACGCTGGCCCACACAAAGCACCAGGGTGCTTACTCAGAGAGAAGGGTACCCACTGGGAGACAGAGGACATGGGCTCAGCTAAGAGTCACTAATTCCCAAAGCAACTGACCTGGATGAGGGAGAGTGTTAGTCCCAGGAATGGGACTTGAATGAGTAACTGGAGGTTACTGGAGGTAGAAGAAAAAGAGAATTAAGATTTTATATGTGCTTTCCATGGGCTAGCTGGGCCAGGCACCTGCCATAGACTAACTCACTTAAGTGAGTTAAGTTAGCAGTGAGCTAGGGCTTTTGATGCCCATTTTTCAGAGAGGAAAGTTGAGGCTTGAAGTGGTTAAAGTCACACACACATGGTAAATACTGTGAAGGTGGGCATCCATTCCTGGTCTGCCTATGAAACCTACAGGCTCTTCTGCTTCTCCAGCTACTTCCCGCCCAGGACACTCTTCATCCCCACATCGACAGATAAGCTTCCTCCCACAGAACCACCACCAGAGCCAGGGAGGCACCCTGGAAGGAATCCTGCTCTATCTGCTCAGGGTTTGCCATCCAGCAGGGGCAGACAGTGTGCCCTGGGGCTCACTCCACCACACCCTGCCCAGCAGAGCATTCAAACCCACACTCCACAGGTAGGAGACCAGAGGGCTGGGAGATCAAGTCCGGGATCCTGGACAAGCCTCTGCCCCCACCCTCTTCTTGTTGAGGAGCTGCTGCATCCTCCCAAGACCTCTGGATGATGTCTTCCCAGTTGTAACTTTCTAAGAATTCCATCACCTTCCCCTCCAGCAGCTTCCTCTCCTGGCCCCACCCTGAGTGAGGTCACTTCTGTGGGTTGCCCTCAAAGTAGCAGAGGCCTCAGCCAGCCCAACTCCATCCCAGATAAGGGGATACGGGGAAGGTGGCCGCTTCCCTTTAAATTAGGGCAGGGTGGCAGGGATGGGAGCCACTACAGCCCTGGTCCTTCCTGGGGGCCGGGCGGGGGCGCAGGGGCGGTCAGGGTTGGTAACCAGTTTCTAGGGTCTTGCAAATAAACCACAGACCCCAGGAGCCATGGACCAGACCCAGGACTACGACGAGGTGAGGTATTTGACACAGGTGCAAAACTTCACGGGGTACAAACACACTCAGTCATCAAGATAAATTATAATTTAATATTGGAAAAACTCAAATCAGCAAACTGTGGCCCCACGGGCCAGCTCGACCACACATCCAGTATCATTTCTGTTCAGGGACCTCCAGAATCTCACCCCAAGCCTCAGGCCTGCAAAGCCACCCTCCGTCTCTTTGGCCGGGAGCGAAGGGGGCGGGCCGGCCAGCCCCGCGCAGAAAGGCTCCCCGGAATCTCCCTGAACAGAGCCCGGTCTATTTGCCACTTGGCAACCCGCAGCCCGAGCGGCGGTGGGAGCCGGCGCGAGTGCGAGGAGAAAGGGCCCAGGGCTTTTCAGAGGCAGGATCTGGCACGGGCGCGTAGCCGCTGAGCTTCCTCTGCCCACAATTGAGCGGGAGCTGGTGTGATGTGGGTATTTTCCTATCCCTCCCCCACCGCCGGAGAAGAGGGCTCCTGGGCCGAGGGACACGCAGACGGCTCAGGCTCGGGCCCGGCCCCGCACCCGTCGGTGCCCCGGCGGCGGCGGGACAAAGGCCGCGAACCCGAGCCGGGCGCTGCGGGAAGAGCTGAGCTCAGCGCTTCCACAGCTCTTTGGGAAGCCAGGAGGACGGGGCGGAAGGGGAGGACAGAGCAGACCGGGAGGAGACAGGCCCTGCGGGACGCTGAAGGTCTGCCAAGGAGAACAACTCCCTCTGCGAGGGTAACGTGCCCAGAGGGTTGGAGGGCGGGGGACCGAGGAGGATGGGGCTAGCTCCCTCACCCCCACCCCCTCCTCAGTGACGTCACAGAAAGCCAGCCAATCACTACCCCCGAGGGGCTCCGCTCAATGACCTTGGGCTCCTAAGGGTTGATTCAGCGTCTCAGGTGAAGTTAGTCCCACCCAATCAGCCGGCTAGGGCCCCTCCCGGTTAGTTAGGAGCTCCCGGAGCTCTAAGGGTGCAACCCCAGGCCTTTCCTCTTCGAAGAGAAGAGTTTTGTCACTGAGAGGTCACAAGCTGTGATATTAAAATAATGGTATCATTATACCCAAGAACTGTTCCAGAGGTCTGTGATTCCTGACGCCTTTCTTTGCTAGCACCTGGAACCCCTTCACATCTCTGCTTACTCAACTTCCCCCGTTAGTAATTTCCCACACATACAGAACAAGACTGCCTTTTTGCTAGACTCTGTGCCTACGAAGCTTTGCACAAGCTACATCATTACATAAATCATTTCATTC